CTCTTCTTAAACCAGGTGGCAGATTTTGCTTAAACTTACAGGGATGAACAACCTTAATGTGTAGATGGCAGTAAAGGAAGGAATTTTTGCTGCGACCAAATTTAACAGAATTATGGCCCTTTGTTGATTTTTCACTATATACTGTGTAGAAATTTTGTGAACGCAACTCCTCTTAAACCGGATGGCAGATTTTGCTTAAACTTACAGGGATTTACAACCTTAATGTGTAGATGGTAGTAAAGGAAGGAATTTTTGCTGCGACCAAATTTAACAGAATTATTGGCCTTTGTTGATTTTTAGTTTTCAACTTGTGGCACATGTAGTCCAAAAAATATTTGACCTAGAGTCATAAGATTGACAGAACAGTGGCATGTGGGGGCATCCGTGTCCTATGGACACATTTCTAGTTTTATATAGGTATATAGATATACAATCAATAAAGGTAGCTGTAGTACATACATTGTAAGATGATAAAATGCTCTTTACATGTACATTTACCAGCCTATATCACTTTTGTTGTAACTAATGAGTGTGAGATAAGCCCATGTGAGATTTTCGTCTATCAGATTGGTGAGAAATCAAGATCTTTAGAGACATTGACAACAAAACATTTAAAAAAAATAGTCATTGACTTAACAGAAAATCAAGTGAGTTTATTCTAACTATAGTCTTGCATACTAACTGAGCAGAGATACATTTATGGAAATAAAAACAATCTGGAAAAAGTGTAATCCTTCGGAAGCATTTGTAACAACAAAAATAACATGAAATTGTAGACCCTCGAAAAATTCAGGGGAAAAGAAAAATCCCCGGTGACTTAAGGCACTAAAGTAAAAACAGCTTACTGCAATGACAGCCCCGATGGTATTATAATCAAAACAGTATTGTCAACATAATGACGCTAGCTCGTGAAAAACATTGAGAAACGGAAAAAAAAACGGAATGGAACATAACTTAATCAGACAAATGCTTTAATGCCGATATGTACTTTAAGAGCAGTCTCTTAGAGCCTAAGGAAAAAAGCATTATAATACAGAGAAGTTCTTGTTCGTATACAGTTTATATCGTTTGAGTTGCGAATATTGTATCTTGATGTCTCACCTACTGAAGGGGGACAAGAGATGAAAGGTAGTTTGGGGAAATTCCATTTTTCTTTTTGTGAAGAAGTATAAGTTTGTGTTTCCTTCGTCTAGACTCTAAAGATTCCTAAGGGACTTCTTGTTAGATCTCATGCAGAAAAACAAGTTTACTAGCGCCAGAGGTAATTTTACAAGCTTCGTATTGGATTTTATCAAGTTCATTTTTTTCATATTGAGTACAAATTATAGAGACAACATCGTCGTATTCTAAAATAGGTCTGATGTAAGAAAGACATAGAGTTTCTAGAGATCTACGATCAAGTTGAAATCTAAGTCTAAGCATGATATGTAAACGTTTCCAAGCTCTTTCCTTTATATAGTTTATATGAGTATGCCAAGAACCATCATCAGAAAAATGTAAACCAAGGTGTTTGTGAGAAGTAAATGCAGAAATTATTTCGTTTTGCATAGAAATATGTGGATAGAAAGGTTAAGATGTTTTACGTCTGAGTGACATGGTTTCAGATTTAGAAGGATTGAACTTGACCCGCCATATATCAGCCTATAAAGAAATTTTGTTTATATCAATTTGATGAGTCTCAGCTGCATGTATTGGATAATCGACGATTAAATAAAAGCTGGTATCATCAGCGAAGATTTACACAAGACCGTAGGTCTACATCTATATAATTGATATAAACTATAAAAAGAGAAGTTGACCCAAAATCGAACCTTGAGGGACACCTGCTTTGATAGAAGGCCAATCAGATTTAGCACCAGGAAGAACCATAGATTGACGTCTATTTGACAGATAGTTTGAAAAATAATCAAGAAAAGGCACTCGAATACCAGCTCTTTGTAACTTAGGCAGGGAGACCTTTGTGCAACACATTATCGAAAGCCTTTTGTTTATGTCGAAGAACACAACGTCTGTATCTCTAGACCATCGTCAAACACCTACAAAAAGAATTGTAGAGAAAAGTTTAGTTTGATTCACAGTTTGAAACCAGATTGAAGCGGAGATATAGAGTTCAAAGACCTTTTCCATACAATAAAGAAGTGATATAGGACGATAGTTGTTTGGCAGAAGCAAGGGTCATCTTTCTTAAAAAAATTGGGCAAACATAAAGCATCTTTCCAAAGATTGTTGGACTTTACAGCAGCGAAGTGAATGATTGAACAGGGAGCAAAGTGGATATTTAATTACGGAAGCTGTTTCACACAAGATCCGATTGCTGATTTCATCAGGCCCGGACGCTTAATTGATATTGAGAGTTGACATTTTAAGTTGTAACCGTGATTGAAGTGAGTGTGCGGACAGGCTCTACGTAGAAATCTTCAGGAGTTTCTTCATTTAAATTATCAAGAGAAGTCTGACAGTAGAAAAAGATATTTAATATATCAGATATTGATTTATTGTCAAATATCAGTCTGTTAGAGTCTGGACATGTCAGTGCGGGAATGATTTGGTTTTCAGTCGGAGATATAAATGATTTGATGACTCTCTTTTTGTATAGTATTATCAGATTGAATGGGAATATGCCCAGTTTCTTTATTATGGTTTCGCCCCTTGGCACTATGAATAAGCCTGAAACAAATTTTGTTAACGAAGTTGGGTTTGAATTTGTGCCAAGTTCATAGGATTTTAGGTGCGTTTTTGCCTCTGTGGTAAAGTTTCTTAACGTTTACGAAATAAGTTGTTTAGTTTGTGACGTGATCCACCACTGCATCATTTTGGTCTTACTAACTGTTTATTGTTGCTTTGTTGGAATTCACTGCTCTGAGAGTTTAAGAATCTTGTTGTTTATTGTTGTTGTGTAAATGTTTATATCATTGTTAATATATTGTTCCCAGTCTGTTTGCATAATGTGGTGTTTAAGGGTTTTGTAATGTTCAAGTTTTTGAAAACTATTGGTAAGGCTGGCGTTTCGAAATAACAAGATATCTAATATCCCAATGGACCTTTATAATAGCAAGATCTTTGATATTGATTATATTGGAAATAATGTTACCTATTTAGGAAATCATATATAGAAACTAATGAAAATGTACCATATTTATGTGAAAAGACTAACTATTATAATACAGGTTTTTCCAAAGCATGTAGCATAGATAATAATCCATATAAGCTTTTAAGAAATTACACTGTCGTTTTTGTTTTACATTATACCTTTTAATGTGTATTCTAATAAGGGCAAAATACCTAAAGATTGGGGAAAGGTTTTATTAATCAGATATTAAGTATTTACTTTATATCTATATTATCTTAAGCAATCACAAGCTATAATAGAGTCAAATTTAATTAGTGAATGTATAGACATGTAGGTATGTATAACAAGGGAGGTAAATCTCTAATTAAAAAAAATCCTCATTATTATATGTTGTTGAGTTATCCCCCTTTTCAGCCAAGAATAAAGACGGGTAAACAGTAAAAGTTGGGATATTGTCATGACCTTCTCGTCGTTGTTAGCGTCGGCGTTTGCGTTGGTAGCTGCGTTGGTTAACCTTTTTGTTAAGGTCCATTTTCTCAGAAAGTATAAATGCTATTGATTTCAAGCTTTGTATAAATGTTTATTGTCATAATTATGAAGACGCAAATAATCCTAAAATTATTCTTCGTAAAGTTATGTCCCTTTTCGAAATAGATTTTTGGATCTGTATTTTTATATGTAGCTGGTATGTACCACTTATTCCTTTATGGACAAACAAACAAATAAAATAAACATTTAGCAATACATTTGAACTATAAGTTAAAACACGCAATTCATGTATTTAATTCATTTGTTTTCAATATGAACAACTTCAAGGGAAAAAAATCCCCAACGTTAATAAAGCCAATGATTACGATGAAGATAAATGCAAAAATATAGCGTTGTATGACCTTGATAATTTAGCAACTTTCACCTTAACAATATCACATCTTCTTCCCTATATGCCGGTAATTTATTCAATTGTTTGATGACATCATGCGCTACATAGACAACAAAACTTTTTATCTTATCATAACACATTGAACAATATTAACAATAGTAAAGTACATTTGTACATTTCAACTAGTTAATTGATTTATCTCTTTTTTAAAAAAACTTTTGAAAAAAAATTTAAAAAAAAATATTTTACAACATTTCAACTTAACAGCATTTAATTTAATGGTGTAGAGAATACCTCAGACATTCCTTTACACGGTTTTTTAAACACTGACAATATAAGTATACGCGAAAAGTTCGTGCGAGACCGTAGGACCAAAGAGCTTAAGCCCTCTAAGATAACACGTATGACGTGTATAAGTTAAATTGAAATCACATTAAAATAAATAAAAAAAGATATTCTCTCCAAATCTAAAAGGTTTCAGAAAAATCAAAATTCTAAGTTAACAGGGCGCCGCTATTTTGCAAATCTTGGGACTGTTTCTAGATTTGAGTTGTATATTTAGATTACAGGGCGCTTTTGGAAAAACAATGAACAAAAGCGTCTACACAATTCAGACTGTTGCTTGAAGACACTACAGCCTTCTCTCTATCATAAATTACACTTCCGGTAGAAGTATGATTTTAGAAAACCGGTAAATAAATATCATTATCTTAGAAAAAAAAAACTTAATTAACGATGATAAACATAAAATGTTACGTCTTTATATGCATTTCTAAGATAAATCATCACGTTTCAAATTAGGTAAAATTAAAGCTTAACAAGCATGGTGGACGAGCTATGTAGAAACACTCGGTACAATAGCAACACCAATTCATGCGTATCTATTAAACGGCACAACATACTTGCATTTACTTATTATTTACAAAATCTAGGAAAGATATGGTTTATATATGGAAATGTTTATGCTTGATATTAAATTCAAAAAAAGCTAACCACGTCACTGGTATAGACCCTAATTTCATATTATCTTAATGTAAGATATACAAAATGTATGTCATTTTGACTATGGATCCTGTGTTTAAACTGACACGATAACGTGGCCTAGAGTGGCGGAACTGATTTTAAAGGCCCATTTTGCCACAAAAATAAACAATGTCAATCTAAAGAAAATAGCATTTTCATAGTTCGTTATGTATATATGTGCCTTTTGAAATGGTTTTCCCGTTTTTGACACAACCTTTAGTTATGTAAATATTTGTAAACAGCCTTTTTTTCAGTTCAAGGTTTTGTAACGTGCAATTTCATTGGTTAAAAATTTTGGTCAAAAGCGATTTTTATTCAGCCACACCAAATAAAAAAAGAACAAAAACAAACTCCTTGTGTGAATCAAATGTCCCGTTTTACATATTAACGGTATTAAATGTCATTCTTTGATAATCAATTAAAAGTTTTTTGTCAAAATGCAGAACTATACATAAAGCTACAATGGGCAGTTTAAAAATTCAAAGTACAAAGTCATAAATAAAGCATAAAAAAATGTAAGCAAACTTTCATTATCCTGACGTCACTAAGGATGATATTGCCTCATCCTTCTTATTTTTAATCACAATATCATACATTAGTATTTGTTTTAAGTTTAGACTTATACATTATCATATAATGATATAAATCCAATCCAAACACTTTAGAAAGACCGTCCAAAATTTGAAAAATGACGTCATCTTCTCTAAGGTCGTACTTCATTCTCTTTGCAATTTAAGTTTCTTGACGTTTACGTATATAAATGTTGACGTCAGCAACATTTCCTTTCCTTTTCTATAGACATGCTAATACTGTCAGAGTATACATAACGAGATGGCTTTTGTTTTATCTTTCTTAACATTTCTTCCCCTGATTACATAGAAGAGAAAAAAAGAGAATAAAAAACAAAGTTTAATGATTGATATAGAGATAATGTAACTTCTACAAAGCGCGCCCTCTGTAGAGCGATAACCTTTATACAAAATCGGTATCATTTTATGTTCTTTAAGATATAATATCATCAAATTTGATATTAGAAAATATTGAAAATTGTTACACAGTCTCTGTAAACATAAAATATTTACTATACTTTACCATATTTTGACTTCACAGAAAGTAGATATGTTATGTTTAAAATTCTACACAATAAAGGTGGTCACCATGCATATATATATAGTGTCTTTAGAAAAACTTTCAGTTTTTTTTTATAGTTTTTTTTAGAAATTTTATCAAATTTACTTTACCTGTGATAGGAAACGCAGCTTTCTGTACATAGTTTATTGATTGAATAATAAAAAAGTAAATTTTCGTACCAAAAATAAGTCATTTGTTTATATTTGAAATCAGAAATAGATACCTACCAAGTGACAAAAATAACTTGTCTACATTTTCGCCTGTCTTTGCGGAACTTTCATAAAACAGGATGTCATGGGACTTGCACCAAGATTCGGCCTCCTGAAAACATAAATAAACATAGACACTAAGTTACTTGGATGATCCGGGACGATCCAGGGTGATATTATTGTTGCGGTCACACCTACCCCGGCAGCGCTACGGTAATTCCCAACTTACCACACAGGATGCGCTCCGGACCATCCAGGCAGAGCCCAGGTGAAGCTACGGTTCATGCCGGTGCTTCCCCGGCCGTTACCGGTTGACGCCGGAAAAATCCTTACGCAAGACTTGATAGAAGTGAAATGGAAAGGGTTTTAATACAAACAAGTGCAATCATCGCAAAATGTCGTTATTTTTTTTTAATGAACCGGGCTTTACCGGGGCTCTACCGGGACCAACCGTAGCTCCATCGTCATTCAGTAATGGTCAAAAAATCAGTTATGGTCAAACGTAAAGGTTATAAAAATCAGTAATGGTCAAAGAAAAATGGAATAAAAATCAATTAGGGTCAAAGGAAAAAGTTATAAAATCAGAAATTGTCAAAAGTAAATGTTAAAAAAAATAAGTAATGGTCAAAGGAAAAAGTGATTAAAATCAGTAAAGGTCGAAGGAAAAGTTATAAAAAACTAGTGATGGTCAAAAGGAAAAGTGTTTTAAAAAATCAGTAATGCACAAAAGAAAAAGTTATAAAAATCAGTAACTATCAAGGAAAATAGTTATAAAAATTTGAAATGAACAAAAGATAAAGTAATAAAAATCAGTAACTATCAAAGGAAATGGTTATAAAAATCAGTAATGAACTAAAGTAAAAGCTATGAAAATCAGAAACGGTGAAAAGAAAAAGTTATAAAAATCAGTAACGGTCAAAGGAAATAGTTACATGTATATAAATGAACAAAAGAAAAAGCTATAAAAAATCAGTGATGGTGAAAAAAAGTTATAAAAATCAGTTATAGACTATGGTGGCATATTTCTGCCACCAGATAACCTGATAGCTAACTAATTAATTAAGAGGTTAACTAGTTACGATACTAGTTAACCTGATAACTAACTAGTTAATTAAGAGGTTAACTAGTTACGTAACTAGTTAACCTGATACCTAACTAGTTAATTAAGAGGTTAACTAGTTACGTAACTAGTTAACCTGATACCTAACTAGTTAATTAAGAGGTTAACTAGTTGCGTAACTAGTTAACCTGATACCTAACTAGTTAATTAAGAGGTTAACTAGTTACGTAACTAGTTAACCTCTTAATTAACTAGTTAGTTATATGGTTATCTGGTGGCAGAAATATGCCACCATAATAGACAAAGGGAAAAATATATAAAATAGTAATGAACAAAGGAAAAAGGTTATAAAAATCAAAATCAAAGGAAAAAGTTTTAAAACATCAGTAATGGTTAAAGGAAAAAGTTATGAAAGATAGTAATGGTCAAAGGGGAAAAAGTTATAAAAATCAGTAATGGAAAAAGGAAAAAGTTTTTAAAATCAGTAATTATAAAAGGAAAAGGTTATAAAAGTCAGTAATGAAGTAATTATAAAAGGAAAAGGTTATAAAAGTCAGTAATGAACAAAGGAAAAGGTTGTAAAATCAAAATGGTCAAAGAAAAAAAGTTATGAAAGACAGAAATGGTCAAAGGAAAAAGTTATAAAATCTGTAATGGACAAAGAAAAAGTAATAAATATCACTAATGGAGAAAACAATAATTATTAAAAAAAGTAATAAACAAAGGGAAAAGTAATGAAAATCAGTAATGGACAAAAGAAAATCACAGGTTTTACTGTAAACACATACATTAATGATTTACATAGGAAATAACAAAGTGCAAAAATAACAATGTCTTGAAAACAACCATACGTCATACATCATAATATAGAAATATATATCCTGAGACCTATAGCCTTATAACTGACTTAATTTCCTGAAAGAATGTATTGATTTCTTACATACGTACAAACAATGAATTTGATTCTTTGTTTGGATTTCACTTAAAACACTTTTGTATTTTAGTGTTCATTATGGAGAGGGCTATTGAGTCCGCTTCTGGAACAAACCAGCATTGATGTCATAAAAGGTCACTTGGAAGTGACCCAAGTACGGCTCGCACCCACGATCTCTGGGGAAAAGGCTGTTTAGTGCGCTTCTGGATCAAACCAGCAATGATGTCATATGAAATCATTTGGTTGTGACCCTAGTAAGGCTCGAACCTACGATCCCTGGGTTGAGAGGCAGATACCTTAACCAATAGGCCACCGCCCCGCCCCATTACAGCTTACATAAATGTAGGGTTTTTTTAAGCGCAATTCGCTATACATATAAATGGTAAAATATTGTATCTATATATCCTTTTAATAATCTCACTTTTAGTAAATAAGGTTGTTATGCTTCTTGACATCAAGAAATATGTCATAACCAGAAATATGATATATCAAAAATTATAATATAATTTATAAGAGACCCTTCTAATGTCTAAAAACTGAAATGGAATGAAATTCAACACAAACTAGCAACTTCCCGCCAAAATTAACAACACAAAACAACACAAGCGGAGATAAGTCAAACAAGCTAACTATGTATATACAAAACATTACACAAGTATAAGAAATAACTAAATGAAATTTGAAAAGCGACTTTCTCTAAACGTGTCCGACAAAAACGTGAAAGGGCACCAAACCCTATAATTTATACAATTTAGCGTAGTAATACAAATTTGACCTATGACCTAACCTAAACAACATCCAATCAGAAAGGCTGTTATATCTATAATTAAAAGAATTTATCTGTTAATGTCGCAATGGGTCCCCGTCGCAATGATATATCAAACTAATGATCGTGAAAATCAAGCATGTCCTTGATAGAAACCCTTCGAAAGATAAGTTACTGATTTAAATTCTTTACGGGGATTCCACAAACACAAACAACAGCGATCTTAATTAACCAACCGAAGATGTACCCCAAAATTGATTAGTATGACGTTGGACAAGATTTACTAGTATATTTTTATCATATGTTTTCGATGGTTTTCAAATAGTTAATATAAGATACGTATTCATAAGACATCTACTTATGGGATTTCCATGCTCTCTCATTAGTATCGATGAGATTTGTTAAAACTACGTGTTGATTTATAACAACGATTATATAAAACAATGTATTGTATCTTCAACACCATTCATACACACATGACACGAGCAGACTGAAAATTTATTATTAAACTCCATATGATATTCCCTAATGATAATCACAAAATAGTACTTTTATCTAGGTTTAATCAATCAAAAGTGTCACTCACCGCGGCGGTTACTTGTTTTCTATCTTCAGGTAGGTCTATTTTGTTTCCTACAACCATAATTGCCGTATTGGTCTCAGCATATTTTCTGATTTCTTTAACCCAGCCGTTCAAATTGTCGTACGTAACCTAGCATGGTTAAATAAATATATTTTTTATAGTTTCTTTAAGTATGTGGATATTAATATTAAAGGCCCATTATGCCTGAGAAATGCTATTATTTTTTTATTTCTCTTTTTTTTTGTATCTTGTTACAGTTTCTAAATAATACTTATTTGCCAAATACATGAACTGCATTTTGATCAGTTAGCTCTGTTTGCTATAGATATAATTAAAGTAAATAAATATTTTGTATGGAAGTCAAAATACTGATTTGATTACATGTTGCTATCTTTACGACACATTCCTGCACAATCAATGCTACTTTCTTCCTTAATTTTTGTTTAACAAAATCCATTTTTGAAACATTATTAATATCAAACATATGTTTGACATTTCTATAGAATTAAAAACTATTATGGATTTCTTAAGCATAAAGTGCCTTTAATAGAACGTACAAACTTAAATGTTTTTATGAATATTTGCTCATATTTTAATTAGATTTTTCGGCGTAAAACTTCAGAAAATATATTGAAAAATGTTGGTGTGTAGGTGTTCGGTCAGACTTTAATATTTCTTCCAGTTTTTTTTAAACATTTTCCAAAGTATTTCACATAAATGTTATAAAGTGTCCTAGCATACTTTCCATGTTTAGGTTAATTGTTGCTTTAGAATTTCTAAATTGGAATATTGGCAGAACACGTGTTGTTACATATTGATTCAGATCAATAGACGTTTCGAAATAAAATAACTTTTTAAAAATCATTTCAGTAGCATAATAACATGCAGCATGAAAACAATAGCGGATTTTATGTCTTTAATGTCTTTCAGGTATTTACCCTTTGAGTTCCTTTAATATCTAAAACATATTATAGTTATCACTAAAAATAAAAATAAAATCTGTGCATATTATTGAACACGCTGATTGCAAAGTTTTAAAAAAAATCCGGAACTTTATTTCACAAAAGTGATATGTCAAATGTGTGCGCGTCACGACAAAACCAACGTTATGCGTTTGCGACCAGCATGGATCCAGACCAGCCTGCGCATCCGCGCAGTCTGATCAGGATCCATGCTGTTCGCTTACCAACCCTATTACAAGTAGAGAAACTGATAGCGAACAGCATGGATCCTGATCAGACTGCGCGGATGCGCAGGCTTGTCTGGATCCATGCTGGTCGCAAACGCATTACGTGGTTTTGTCATGACATGGCTCAAATATATGTGATGATATATTACTTTATCGGTTACGTCATACACAACAAGAGCGCCATCTATGCCTTTCATGTACAACGGCAGTAAGGAACGGAAGCGTTCTTGACCAGCGGTGTCCCAGATCTGAAATACGACTCTGTTACCTTGGATTTCTAGTCCCTTTGTTTCAATATCTGAAAAGTAATAATTCTTTCTTGTGAGACAATTGGCCCATGTTTTATATGCGTCAATTTTAACTTCTGTTGTCCGCACATACAAGCCGAATGTCGTTTCTTTAAACAATCTGTCGCAGTCTGTCACTACACCAAAGAGAATAGAGTACATGTATATCCAAGGTCATCATTTATTTAGGACGGCATTGCTTAAGAGAAAATATTGTGTGTATTTTAACTTTCGTAATAAACGCTTGAAATGTTCTTGACATTTGCATAAATTAGATCGTATATTAACTTGGGTCATTCAATTTGAACTGACCCTGACTAAGGCGTCCATTCCTTTTAGTATATGTATGTAAAAGAAAATTCATAAAAAGTCAAATGTACAAAGCTAAGTCGTAGCATTTGCTTATCTTTTTATAATCATATACGATTGAACCACATCCTAGAAATCAAAGCCCCATTCATTCTTAAAAATATCATAATTTCGTTACATAAGAATAAAAGCAACATTTACCGACTGTTATCGGCCCATAATGTGACTGATACAGATACATATTTCTTTCTTGCCTTGGAAAATTACTCTCTGCAGAGTCTCAAAAGGATGTCATAATATTGATCGTGTTTAAGTATTCCGCAAGCAAGTTTCCGAAGTCTGTCCGTAATGCATCAGAGTATTTCCGTAATACATCGAAGTCTTCCGTTATAAATCGATTTCTGTCAGTAATACATCGAAGTCTGTCCGTAATACATCGGATGTCTGTCCTTAATACATCGATGTCTGTCCGTATTTCATCGAAGTGTGTCCGTAATACATCGAGATCTGTTCGTAATACATCGAAATTTGTCCGTAATACATCGAAGTTTGTCCGTATCACAACGAAGTCTGTCCGTTATACATCGGGGTCTGTTCGTAATACATCGGGGTCTGTTCGTAATACACCGACGTATGTCCGTAATACATCGAAGTTTATCCGTAACACATCGGAGTTTGACCGTAATACATCGAAGTATGTCCGTAATACATCGGGGTTGGTTCTTAATAAATCGAAGTTTGTCTGTAACACATCGAAGTCTGACCGTTATACATCGAAGTCTTTCCGTAATACATCGGAGTCTGTTCGTAAAACATAGAGGATATTCAAGTTTTTCTATGAATACATGATTTATTTTCATTGAGTGGTATGAACATAAATATTTCATGAGTGGCGGTAGCCACGTGTGAAATATGGTAATTTTCATGCCACAAGATGAAAATAAATCATGTATTTATAGAAAAACTTGAATTTTCTGTTTATTATATATACATTTTTCTCCTTTTTGATATTAAAATTTAAAAGATTTTCCCTTAAATTTTGTGAACTGGCAGAATTTAAAAGAAAGTAGTCCGGTAAGACACCAGTGAAAATACGGAAAATATGTTTCACTGCAGTGAAAAATAAATTTTTACAGTGAAATACGGAAAGTGAAAATACGCATTTTATTTCAGCAATATTTCTCAATATTTCATTTATACGTATATAATAAATCGGGGTCTGTTCATAAAATATCAATTAAAGTATGTCCGTAATACATCGGGGTTTGTTCTTTATACATCGATTTTGTCCGTAATAGATGAAAATGTGTCCGTAATACATCGAAGTTTGTTCATAATACATCGGGGTCTGTTCGTAATAGATCGGAGTCTGTTCTTAAGACATCGACGTCTTCCGTAATACATCGGGGTCTGTTCGTAATACATCGAAGACTGTCCATAATACATCGGTGTCTGTTCGTAATATATCAAAGTCTGTTCGTAAAACATCGACGTATGCCCGTAATACCCCGGTCATATATTCACGGAATACGCCCACGGAAGAGCCACGGATTAATTCCGGCATTGTCCGTAGCTACCCGTACTGGTCAGTAGCTCTCCGTATTGTAACCGTAGTCAATCGTAGTAGTCCTTGTATATCCGTAGCGATTCTTGACAATTTTTGAACATGCACAAAAATTTGCTACGGAAAAATCAACCGTAGCATATCCCTGCTAGTCCGTATTAAACCGTACTGTACGTACTGGTCCTAACGAAAACCGTGTTAGTCCGTACTGATTCGTGGACCACCAACTTGTCAAGGATTTCTACGGTTTAGTACGGAAAACTACGTATTTGTACGGTTACACTACGTATATGCTACGGTTTTAATACGGATTAATACGACATTGTCACGGAAAGTCACGATCGTAATACGTTGTACTACGGAGAGACAGGGATTAGCACGGTCTTATACGGTTTATTGCGTTGCAACAAGAAACGGTACGGAATTGTACGGTCCACCACTGTTTAGTACGGATGAATTAAGTATCATGTACTTTTTCATGGGTATAAATACTACCTTCTTGTTAAAAACAGACATATTTGCGGGAACATTCAATAAATGATAATTGCCATTTACTGGTTGCAACTTTATATTGAAAAGACTCAGAATGCGGGGTCAGTGGTCGAGCTGCTTGATGACATGCATAGAGGTAAAATATATTAATATCGTACTACACTTCATAAGTAATAGAATAACATTTAATGTTACATATTTTACAAACATTGGATCGTGAATTTGGAGTTAATATGTACATACAACCAAGTGTCTCATAAGCCTCATTCACGATAATTAATGTAATTGTAAAATGAACAGCAAATTTTAAAATTAATAGAGAAGCAGTATTGATCAACATTTTTCATAAATGCTTACTAGCCTATATCTAATCAGGTAAGAGAAGACAGACGAGATGGTGGACTAGAGATGGGCTTTTACAAAGACCACTTTATGTTTAGTATGAGGCTCTCATGTCCGAACTTGTTGAGGATACAGCGTCCTTTAATCGGACCTGATTTGTCTCGGGGGTCGGACGCAGTTAGGCCGAATCCTCTCATCCAAAATTATTGAACTCTGCAATTCGTTTTCTATGTTTTCTTTTCTTGTGGGGCATTTTGAAAATGAGCATGCAAGAGGTTGTGGACGGATGTATTAGGTCCGTATAGATCCGTGGCAATTCGTTCTTCTCCGTATCAATTCCTCCTTCTCCGTATCAGACCGTACTTATTCGTACTAACCCGTGCTTATACCGTAGCAGACCGTAGTGTATCCGTAGAGCGTCCGTCCTGATTCGTGTCGCTCCGTATCAAACCGTGTCGGTCCGTAACAGTCCGTATCTTTCCGGGGGCTTTTTGTGGAAAATCCGTCGGACTCCGTACTCATACCGTTGTGTGTCCGTACTGGAACCGTAGCGGTCTACGGAATTTCACATTTCCGTAGTAATCCGTGAACAATTAGAACGTAGCTCTTCCGTGGCATTATCCGTGAATATGTGACCGGGGAATTAAACATCGAAGTATGTCCATTATACTGTAATACATCGGGGTCTGTCCGTAACACACCGTAGTCTAGCCGTAACACATCGCAATGCATCGGACGAGTTTGAGCTGTAATTTTTCCGGCAGCTATATACAATGTCATGATCAATAGTTACAAAAATATACATAATTATACATGTGTGTACTTAAACACTTCATAGAGATGTACTGTAACTCTTTAAACTTGAAAAAAATATTCGATACCGTGTCTATAACCACGAATGCTACATTTCTTTAAAAGAAAAATGGTAAACCTATTTGTTTGAATCGAATTTTTATGTTACATGCATACATGTTTAAGCATTACTAACCTGAGATAGTGGCTTTATGAGCGTCAGTGAACAGGTCTTTTACAAATCGTAGTGACAGGCACGTTTTACCAGTTCCCATATCACCAATGATAGATATCTTAAATTTCGTCGCCTCTTCAATATCATCCCGTTTGTGTTTAAAAAGTTTTTCCATAGCGCGTTCATTACATGAATATATAGTAAAATGCCGTAGTTAATATAACTATATAATACAACTGTATATGTAACGATCTTATTTTAATAAAATAACAATTATGAATGTATGTATGGACATATATAAAATGTCAAGGAAATTCACCACTTACATGTACTTTCTTGTGATTAAAGCCTACGCTCATTAGATAGAATACACTATAACTCTGTTTCCGGTAAGGAATATATATTAATCATGTAAATCAACATTAAAAACAAACGAAAATAATCCAAATCAACAGCGTATTACTTGTATTTAAAGTCTTTTCTTAGTGTTTGGGTGTGAGTGTTCACATATTGATGATGATTTTAGTTGAACGTTCATCATTTTTCTTTTCCCTTCAGTGACTTTTATTTAACACACACATTAACACATTTATTTATCCGTGTAAATCACTGTGTTATATTCACATGGAGTATTTACTTCCTTAACGTTGATAAGTCACAATCTCATTTCATCATTAACAACAACAACAACAACAACACACTGTGGTATTATTTGCACGCGTTGCTATTTTTGTTCAGTAACATCGGCAGTCGACACTTTCGTTTCTTCCTTGTAAAATGTTTAATAAAGTTTCAGGTACAGTTATCATTTGTATTTATAATACTATATAGAGGATATTTTTTTCCTCTATCTACGGGATTTATTTTCATCGGGTGGTATGGAAACAGATATATTATTGGTGGTGGTATAGCGACGAATGAAATATGATAATTTTCACACAAGATGAAAATAATTCTTGTGTTTATAGGGAAAAACATTTGAATTTTCTGTTTATATATACATTTTTCTCTTTTTTGACATTTATACTTTGAAAGATTACCTTTTAAACTTTGTATTTTGCCTAAATTTATTGTAAAGCAGTAGTCCGGCAAGACACCAGTGAAAATACGGAACATATATTTCACTGCTGTGATAAATAAATTTTTACAGTGAAAATACAGAACATGAAAAATACGCATTTTATTTCACCATTTTTTCTTATTATTTTATTTATAAGTTTATAATAAACGTTAGTAACATCTCTTTCGATTTACTAATCGTGACCTTTATATTACGTTAACTATATGTGCGAAGTAATTTTCATTCTCCCTCAAATAAAACGAGTCTGCTGTATTATTAATTCGTTATTAAGATGATGACATATTATATGGCTTTGCATTAACGGTGGCTCGAAATATAACCATCGAGATGGTTATATAAGCTTACAGCCGTTTATGTTGAGCCATATAACACATTATTTCACGTATATACGAAAATATTTCATTTTGTAAAATATCTTCGTTTTTTTCTAGTTTAAAAAAGTAACATGTTTATGACAGTGTTTTTTCACATCTTCAATCTCTTTTTCAATGATGGTTTTAGCGGATTTTTTACATTTTCTCATTGATAGTTTTATAGGATTTTTCACATTTTCTCATTGATGACATTATCGGATTTTTCACATTTCTTCTCATTGATGGTTTTATCGGATGTTCCACAGATTTAAATCACAACAAACCCTTATGAATTTCAGGGGCTCATTTTCATTTGAAAAAAATATACGAGTCTCAAAAACTAGTTAATGTTCATTCATTTGAGCCGCGTCACGACAAAACATAATGCGTTTGCGACCAGCATGGATCCAGACCAGCCTGCGCATCCGCACAGTCTGATCAGGATCCATTCTGTTCGCTTACAAACCCTATAGCAAGTAGAGAAACTGATAGCGAACATCATGGATCCTGACCAGACTGCGCGGATGCGCAGGCTGGTCTGGATCCATGCTGGTTGCAAACCCATTATGTTGGTTTTGTCGTGACGCGGCTCATTTATGAAAAAAGAACCGCATCAATAAATAAACAAATAAATAAATTGAAAACAAACAATGACATTAAGCTTGAATAAGATAACAGTTTGGAGAAATACGACAGTATAATAAAATTATGCAACCGCAATTGTTTACCTTCCTATCGAGGGCGAATAATATCTTTCACCAGGCAAATAACACTTTTCAAATGTAACTTAAACATTATACCGGACAATATATAATAACCGTTTCAATTTAGACCTTAAAGCGGCCTTCACATTTTCTAAATGTTAAATATGCTATTTTTAAGTTAATCGTTTCATATAATTGTCGAATCAAAAAAATTAAAGTGGAAAAAGAAGTTTGATAAAATATATAAACAGTAAGAAACCCCTTCGATACCTTTGATATACCGGACCGCTTTCTATGTAAATTTGTAAAGCGGGCGATTCTTTTCCTGATTTTTCTATTTTTAGAAACGGACGTTACTGGCGCGCTATAAATAGCTCTAGTGACGTTGATTTGAAAAAGGCTTAACTGTGATATGATGCACTTTTACAAGATCAAATAATGAAATTCTAAGTTTGTAACAACAAATAATTTTTTTTTTTCGGCAATTTTTTTTTTTTTAAATGAATGAATGAAGGCGTCCGCTTTAAAATATGGCTAGAATTGATATGATATGCGGAAAATGTAATATCACATATCCCAATACTTTAAACATGATATCATAACTTAAGAAAAGTAACCAATTAGGAAATTTGGTAATCAAGATAAGTCTATGACGTTGTAAAATAATGTGTTACCCATCTTATCAAACATCTTTATGATAATTGTTTAACAGGTGCTCATTATGCCCTACAAAGGCTTATACACTGTATTTTTATTCCTCAAAAGCTTTTTAAATTTGATGGCTGATATAGATGCCAAAGGATTACTCATTGGCCAAGTACCTGATCATATTTTGCATCTTTGCTTTCTGAAAATTAATGCATTTATAGTGATTCGGGTTTTTTTTGTACGGAAGTCAAAATACAGCTTTGTATACATTTTTATACTTTCATGACGGATAATTTCAAATTCAGTGTCACTTTCTTCATGTAACAAGCCTCTTACGTTTTCTAAAGCTATTATTTAAGCATTATAAGATTCTGTTTGACCTTTCTAAAATGTATTTGTTTCTGTGGCATAATGTGCCTTTAATGCTTCATCTTAAGCCAAGTGAAAAGTCCTTTTTTCCTTACGGAAATGTAAAATTTGCATGCGAAAATCAATTCTATTTTGTTTTGTTTTGGACCCAGTATGTATTTGAATATATTCCGCACTATGACCCCCCCCTGATTTTACCTCCCGTACCCGGTCCTTCTAGTTCCCTTCCCCTACACTCGTATCCTGCATGTTGAAGGTCTTTTAATTTAGTTTCATCTGTTTTTACCTCGTTGGTTTCTATGATTTCCTGTTTTATAATGAAATCCCTTTCAGTTTTCTTGCTCACGTGCCCTGTTCTGTTTGATGTCATGCTAGTCACCTAGCCGGTGGCCCTGTGTTGGGAGATGCGTTCATTGAATGCCACCCATCCTTGTTGATCTTTTTTAAATACTTTACAGGTCCTATTAGGAGTCTCGTTAGCTTCTCCATGGACAATGTTCAAAACTGAACAAACGGCTTTTGATATCATATGTAAAGGATGATTGTTTCTTCTTCTCATTTAAATAGACATATCTCTTTTGATCAGAATTACCACGCAAAGGCAATCTTTGACACATGTCCGATTGGGGTCTGTCCTATGGTCAGTCAAGAAAACAAGGTTGTTGCATATTCAGTACAGCTAGTTCAGAACGTCCGTGTCTGAGGTCTTTCTCCATCAGCAAAGCTGAAAAAAGTGGACTTGGGTCGCCAATTTCTCAGTCACTGGAAATGTATACGGCGGACTGTGTTGAACCGTTTTTAAAATATTGGACTTTGTATTTCTGTAGAAGGAGATTATTTTGAAGGGTTGAAACGGAAACTTCTTTGTTAACTGTATTAAACATATTGTATTACAATTTGAGCCACATTTGTTCATGTAATGGAAACAATTATTGTTTGTGGGCGGCGTGATGGAAACAACACATTGTTTATGTGTGAAGGAATGGTAATATTTTGTTGATGGACGGAGCCACATAGGTTCTGGGTTAGGCAATATGGCCATTCGTTGAAGTCTACACCTTGTTTATAGGCGGGACGATTGGAGGCATGACAATAGAAATAAAATATTTGAGCCGTGTCACGACAAAACCAACATAATGGGTTTGCGACCAGCATGGATCCAGACCAGCCTGCGCATCCGCGCAGTCTGATCAGGATCCATGCTGTTCGCTTACCGACTCTATTACAAGTAGAGAAACAGATAGAGAACAGCATGGATCTTGATCAGACTGCGCGGATGCGCAGGCTGGTCTGGATCCATACTGGTCGCAAACCCATTATGTTGGTTTTGTCATGACACGGCTCATTTATATTACTTGCAGAGCCATGGGGAAATATTGTATGTTTTGACACTAAATTGAATAGATGAATTTTCAGTGAATTAAGCAAACTCTTTACCTACGACAATTTGTTTAATGAAGATCTCACAAAAAAGCATTATGCAATACAATAGTTCTGATCAAGCATAAATAAAACATAATTTTATGCAGTTTTGTATTATATATCACGTAACGAACTCAACATGAAATTTATATATCAATTATTGTCCATATACATTATTATATGAATTGTATATTTTTCAATAATCATGATATGTAAAATTATAAGACTGAAAAAATGGCAATTATTAACCCTTAAACTATTGTCTTTGTGTATTGGATTTGGCCTACTTTGGATTCTAAACAATCCGTTTAAAGGCCCATTCATAAACATAAATGATATAATTCTAAATTTTCAAAACCTATTTATTTTGGTGTCATGATACAGTTTCCAAAAATTTATCCATTTGTCATATTTCTGAACCATCTGTTGTTACTTTTGCGTATTTGGTACTTAGTACATTTATAATGAATAAGTATTTTGTATGGAAGTCAAAATACATTTTTTTCTTTTTTTTTCTACCTATATCACAATTTATTTCACATTCAACAATATTTTATTCAAGTGATGAGCATCTTGCATGTTCTAAATCAATTATTACAGCATAATTTAACACATATTTGCATGTTCTGCACAATGAAAGATTAACTGATTACGGAGGCATAATGTGCCTTTAAAACGTAAGGATTCCAATATCAAAATAAAAGAAATAAAGTGGCCAACAATTTAGGATAAAGGCAAGTCAGACTAAATGTAAATACAGGCTGGCCGGACTCTATAGAATAATTAGTTTCGATTCCAGGAAGGTGAAGGTTAATTAACACTGAAAACAACACTGTAGAAAAATGCGTATCGTCATATTTCGGCGAGATATCTATTTAGTTCCTTGTCTTCAAAAGTTACAATATCCTAAAATCTCGTCAAATTCACATTGATTGATACAACATTCACACACTATCCCTTGGAAGTAAAAAGAGGTCCTCTTTGTCAAATAGTCCTTTGCCTTGTGTCCGCCAATTGTTATTCCATTAAGCTCCATTTTGATTTCTGAAATATGAAATTGATACAAAACGATACAGTACAATACAATACAGCTGTATCTATTAAACATCTGAGCTCTGCTGGAACGATATATATCATGGCTGCTTATATCACAAAAATAGAGTCTTATCAGAATACACTTCTGCTGAGAGTTTGGCATGACTCTATTCTTTTGGTTTCCTAATTTGACCTAAAATCAAAAGTTTTATGTCTTAAGCTTGATTGGCCTACTCACAAATTCAGCATGATCATGGTGTACTGAGGGTGTATCGACAGTGTACTGATGGTGTATTGAGGGTGTATCGAAAGTGTACTGTTTGAGTACTGAGGGTGTATCGACAGTGTACTGTTGGTGTATTGAGGGTGTATCGACAGTGTACTGATGGTGTACTGATGGTGTATCGACAGTGTACTGATAGTTATTGACTGTAAACTGATGGTGTACCGGTGCTGACTGACGGTTTACTGATAGTGTTCTATTGGTGTATTGATTGTGTACTGATGGTTTACTGATGGTTTATTGATGGTATACTGATGGTGTATTGATGATATACTGATAGTGTACTGATGCTGTACTGGTTTTGACTAATCGTGTACTGATAGTGTACCAATAGTGTACTGATGATGTATTGATGGTGTACTGATGGTGTATTCATTGGTACTGATGGTGTACTGATTGTAAACTGATAGTGTAGTGACGATGTACTGATTGTTTACTGATGGTTTACTTATGTCGTACTGGTGGTGTATTTTCTTGTGTACTAGTGGTGTACTGGTTGTGTGATTGTGTACTGATGGTGTACTGATAGTGTGATGATGGTGTACTTATAGTGTACTGATGGTGTACAAACGATGTACTAATGGTGTACTGGTGGTCTATTGATTGTGTACTAATGGTGTACTTGTGTTGTACTGATAGTGAATTGTTTGTGTACGGCATGTACGGATGGTTTACAGATGGTGTACATATGGTGTAATGATTGTGTTCAGATGGTGTACTGATGGTGTACAGATTTGCTAAGATGTATGATGATTAACTGAATGGTTTCATAGTGAATAAATAACACATATTGAAAAGAATGATCAAAAACAAATTTAAAACTTTTTCGACACAGTGAAAAGTTGAATCTGTCGTAAAAACAGACATGTGAAAGAATATTTCAACATTTTCAAAATATATGTGTATGGTGGCTGATTTGGAACGCTTTTATGCATCGTGTTGGCGCTAGCGACAACAGGACAAAGCGCCAAACGGCGCGTTGTCGGATTTTCGTCTTGTCGTTCTGTCAATAACGATGTACGCCAAACGGCGCGTGGTCGTGCGGGGTGTTGTCGCGATGTCACATTGTCGCTCGGTTCAAATAGAAGGATTGGCTTATAAGCCAAGCGACAGGGCGACATCACGACAAAGTACCGCACGACAACGCGTCGTTTGGCGCTTTGTTGTATTCTCGCTAGGGATAAGACGAAAAGGCGATAACGATATAGGCTGCGATGTCGCTATTGACAAATGCAAAGCACAATGTTCCAAATCAGCCACCACAGTTATCGCTGTTTCGTCTTGTCGTCTTCGCTAGCGAAACGCGCCAAACGCCGCGTTGTCGCGCTGTCGACTTGTCGTCCTGTCTCGAGCGAAGCCCGCCAAACGGTGCGTTGTCGTGCGGCATGATGACGCCCTGTCACTTGACTTATAGTTCAATCGTTCAATTTGAACTCTACAATGTGACATCGCGACAACACGCCGCACGACAACGCGCCGTTTGGCGTGCATGGTTTGCAACAGAACGACAAGACGAAAGTCCGACAACACGACGCACAAAAGCGTTCCAAAATCAGCCACCATAAAAATAAGCTGATATCGACACGTATCTATATTTACTATTTTTTTTATCATTTATCGCCATTTTTCAGTGATGTACTTAATGTTTTGGCCAATAGCACTGTAACTAAATGTCACAGATTGAAATTATATGGTAATGGCAGCCGTGGATTTCCATAGTTTTATTTAAGCGGAAATATCGTGCACGCGCGTTTTTATTCGGTTTCGTTTAGGTTTTATCGTATAAGTTTAACTTCCGGTATTGAATCGGTGAAAATCGACAATTTCCGTCAATGATGTACATTGTCGATCTCACCCGTGCAATCTCGTGAACACTGGTCACTCGTTCTTTGTTGTACTTATCCAGTTGTTGTGTTTGTTATGTATGATCCTATGTGAGAGAGATATCCATTGGTTCTTTTAAATAGTTTTTACTTCTGCGCACTGTTTGCTTTTCCTGTCCCGCTCACTCTTGACAGTCATCTCTTACGAGTCAGACATAGTAAAAACTTAACATTTATACATAGATCTACATTTACTTTACCTATTTCAATTTATATTGAAATAGTTTAATTACAGACGCTGTGGTAAGAAATAGTATTAAGATTAACATATTGATTGTAATCTTATTTATGTATTTTTGTATTTTCTTATTCCGCGTCGATTGTGTATATATATTGTTATTTCAATGTATTTTGTTTTTATATGTATTGTACTTGTAAGATGTATAATTATTAATCTATTATATTTTTAGACCATTTTTACTTGGATTCATTAAAAAAAAACATCGAACCTACGCCCAGAGTTTGTTTCTTTTCAACAAGAAATATTTGACCCTGTGACATAAATATAAATGCCAAATGCCTAATAAAGTTTTGTTGTATTGACAGATGAATTCATACCTGTTGGTGAGCGCCTTTTCCTTTTGCGGGAGTAAGAACCATGAGCGTTATACCCTGTAGCTCCACAAGCCAGACTTAGCAGGTCGTCCAAGCCGTGACCACAACTTCCTTGAGCTGCCATGCTCGAGGTGCACCAGTGCTCGTAGCCACACTTGGCCTCACGTAATGTGAAAATCAAAATAAGTGAAGCCAAAATGTACTGCATGTTGTGAGCTGTTTTTTTAAAGTTACTGAAAAATATATGTAAAATTGCATTGTTTGTTTGTATCGCTATAATGTTAGAGCATTTATATTAAAGACTGATATGCTGAAAAACAAACTTTACGTATCGATAATTTTTTCTGTTAAAAATAACGCAATTGATGGCACAATAAATAAATAAATAAATAAATAAACAAATGAATAAATAAATAGTTTACTATCTACAATAAAAAGTAAAAAGAAAAGAAAAAAAAAACAACTAAAATGCTGAGCACGTTACATAAAAACGTACCACAATATATGAAATTATTTGTCCTTAAATTGGCAAATGTTAACAAGTAGTATTTTAACTTTTTCATTCATAAAAAAATAATTGATTTGTGTACTATTATGTTTTCCTTAAATTTACGTTTGCAAATTACTTTAACCATCAATTACCTTAGCCATATTTTTTGGCACTTAATACAATTATTTAGTTGTCATAATTCAACTTTCTTAACATTTTCTGCACTTTCGTTTCACATTCAGCACTATACTTTTAAGTGATCAGCATCTAACATGCTCTGAAACCAATATTTCAAAGATATCAAATGTATATTCGTGTTTTCTAAAGAAGGAAAAAAATATTCGTTTAATATATAATGTGCCATTAATGATATAATTATGATAGTTTTAGAATATTAAGAAAAAAGATCAAAAACAAAAACGTATGTTTTCGAGTTTAGTTTTTTTGGGTGTGTACTATTCGTGTTTTAATATACTTAACAAGCAGTTGCTTTCAATATTACTTTGAAACCTTGTTATTCTATATATTTATTTTATTTTATTTGCAAAGCTTTATGTAAATGTAATGTAAATGTAGCGTCATGTAAAGGCACGTTAAGCTCCAAAAATGTTTTTTCCACATTAAAAAGTTCTAATATGTGTAGCATAATGTTGCAAAAACCATTTCAGTTGCGTATCATCTAAAGAAAATGACGTTGAATTAAAAATCATTTGTCAGGAACGTATCAAAATGTAAATAAAATAGTATTAAAACTTTCACACAAAATATCAAATCACGTAAACGTTGTTCTAATTGCTGTCAGGAAAAATGAAAAAAAAAGGATGGCTCAGCTATAAGGACAACAACAAATAAAAACTCTTTAGAAATTAGACATGTATCATTTTAGGCAGTTTATTCCTTAGAAACGAATACAAGTTCACTTCCATAGAAAGAAAAAAAATGAATTTTGAAACACATAAATTATGGTTTTAGAAATGGCTATATGCTTTTTATCTGAAGAAAGTAGCAATAAATGTGAATTAATGTGTCACATAAGTAGCAAAATATAAACACAGCTGTATTATGACTTCCACACAATATACTAAATCAATGTAATAGTACTAATTCCCCAAATGTGACAGAAGAAAAAAAAATGTTCAGGTAATTGGTCCATGAGAATCATTTTGGAAACTAGAAAAGTACACCGAAAAATAAAAAGCTTTTGAGAAATAAAAATAACAACATTTATTGAATAAAATTGAGCTTTATTTATTGTAATAATCTTAAGGTTGGTTCAAAATTGATGATATCAACATATTAAGCCATAACATTAATAATAAATGGTATTTTGATAACATGCAATTATCCAATCTTTGTCTCTTTTACAAATAATTGACCATCTTTTTCTCTCAATAAATGTATAATAAAATATATATAAAAATCATCCCAACATAACTTTTAATGACATGCAATTATCCCATCTCTGTCTATTTTATAAATAATTTACAATCATTTTCTCGCAATAAATATATAGAAATCAAGTAAGTAAGTAAGTAAGTAAGTAAGTAAAAAAACAAATTCAACAAACCGTCTTTATTCCAGTCAACACCCGGCAGCTCGCTATGTACCCTAGACAAGATTCAAAAGAACAAGTCTAGTTTTAATCCTTTCCCTGTTTGTCTCCGTTTGTATACTTCTTTCCAAAGAATAAGTGACGGGCTATGCAATTTAAATGAAATTGCGAGCGCGGAATTAAAAAAGAATGTAATTTGATTTAATGTCCAAAAAAGGAACGTACACACTATCGATTGTTGATATTTGTAATTAAGAAATGATATCAAAGGTGCAATTTACGTTCAATAACTATCCTGTAGGTGTATTTTTAATTTTGAAACATAAAAGTATAATATAAATATAAATCAAGCTTAAATTACTCAGTCAGAATTGCTTATTATTGTTATGAGTAGTAATAATAAATTCTTACACACATAGAAAACTGATATTCGTGTGTTCTTATAATGTTATATTTCATTTCTTATAGATAATATTGATGCGATAAAATGGTTGGAATGATAAAACTCTTGTTGTCTACTTACTTTTTATCTCAAGTATTTCAACACCTGTCAAAACACCTTCTTAAGCCCTAAAAGTGAAGAAGTCCTAAAATTTCGCGCCAATTTCCGACACGGGGCTTGGTAAGACAATCGTATTATTACAGATATACCAGGAAAAATGAAACACGGCGAAAACAAATTTTACGTAAATAGCAAAAATCGATTTGTGACTTTAGAATGAACTCGTTCTGATACAGACTTTATGGAAAACTTTGTTCATCCGATTTGTGCATCTTCTAAAATCCCTGATTTAAACGCCGTATCATATAGAGGGGGGTCGGTCGTTAAAAACGGTTCACAATTATAGACTGTAAATACCTCAGTGAACAAGAGGATATTCTGAAATAGCGAGATCGCTCCGGAGGTATGAAGGAAAGCAGAATTACGAATTTGTTCCACGGGGTCTACTAATAAACTTAAGTCGTATAAGGAATATTTTCTATGTCATGTAATTCGAGAGGGGAAAATGTGAATTTTTTGAAAATGGCAGTCGAAATGTATAAAGGTTTAAAGAGCAATGAAATAAAGCCATTTAGAGGTTTATCTCTTTTTGTATTTTCATTTGCAACCCTTTTAATGGTAAATTTATTAATACATTACAATTGTCGCCACACATTAATTATGCGGCTCCCTTTTGTGTCTGAGGGGTTGCCCTTACGAGTTAATGCATCAGAATTTCAGCCACCGTTTATCCCTGCATGATCGTAAGAGGCGATTAAATGGGTTTGAATAACTGGAGTCCATGCATCTCTTAGATTCAGCAGGTGAGGTGGTTTTCACCCCTGTTGTTGCTTAAAGTTCGCAACCCTCGAGGTTAGCCAAAATCATATTTCCTGTCTTTTCTTTGTGCGCCATAAAACTAAACAAAACCAACAAACAATTATGCCTGCAAAGGTAAAAGTTTCGTATCTGATATTATAAATGAAGGTACTTATTAGTAAAATAAAGGTAATTTGAGTACTACTATTTGTAGTACTTGAGTTTACTGGTTATTTTAGCTAGAAGATCAAATCTACAAGCAGAACTTTGTCACTTCTGATCAATAACTATGCTAATTTTGTCTATTAAGTGTTGCTTTTTCTTTATTCATATGAATTGTCATTATATACTGTTTCTATACTGCATGTAATAAATAAGACAGGGATAACTGTGCACGGGTTTCTTGTGATTTCTTAAAGAAAAAAAATACACAACAAATTATTATTAAAAACTAATTTCAAAGTTTCATTTTATTTCCTCCTTATACATATTATTCAGCAGTGTGTAAATAAACAGTGAGGATAAAATCTTTGGGGAACTGGTGTTTATTAAATGAAATAACTTTCCTGAAAAAAAAATGGAGAAAATGAAAAGAATATTGTTTAATAAATTAAGATGTCATGGCCCCGCTTAAGTTTTATACATTTTATAAATGAATAGTTTATTAACTTTATAAATAAAAGACTGACCATAATTAGCAAAACATAACATTAAAATTCTGTCAATATTTCGGAAACAATTCAAGCTATAATATAACCATTGAGGGGATAAAATACTTTTATTGCAGAAATTTATTTAAATCTAAAAGTTCTAACTGAACATGTCTAACTTAAATAAGAGATTGCATAAACTCTTTTGTGAAGCTGCAGTCCCTATTACTGGTCAGGTTAGTTTAGTCCTTTCTTAAGATTTGTTTAATGACACTATGTATAAAGTTCTTTGCCTATATCGTGTAAAGTCGTAATCTATCTACAATGTGTGTTCTTTAAAAATGTTATTTTACATTTACAAAAGAGAGTATATTGCAAATACCAGTATTTTCAAATATCAAATTTAATCATAATATATCTTTAAAATTAAGGATGTAACAACACTTTAGTGGAATTTTATATATGTACATGTATATAATTATTCTTCAAAAACAATTTCCAAGCATCCAATAATATGTTAGATATGTGCTGCAAATGTTTATTCGCATTATAAGTTGTCATTAAAATCTATGCATTCATTTCCTATTGAAATATTCATCTTAGACTTCATCGAAAATATATTTCTAATTACCTCCCTTTATTTACATGAAACGTAAATTCGGTAATATCTTTACAAATAATGCTTTTTTGTACTTACAATATTGACAAATCTTTATTTGAGCATCAGATTTATGATATAAAACCATAAAAAATGATTTACAGGATCTTTAACCAATAAAACTGCTACAATAACATCGCACCGTATTGATTGTAATCGTAATGTAAGACAAATATCATACTCGTATATACATGTATAGGAAGCCTGTCATTCTGTTTCAAAGAATAAAGATTAATTTTCTTCATCAATTTATTTGTATGTTATCCCTGGGAAATGCTGGTATATCATTAACATATGCCACATATAACTTTTACCATGTTTATATTACATTTTGTAAACAGCTATGAGTGCAGTTGCGGTTTTGTTTCTTAAAATGTTTTTTTTTTTCTGATCTGATGTTTGGTATTATTGTTTTGATATATTGCTTTTAAAACGTAACATAGAAATTTAAATTGATACGTTAAGTACAATATGACTTTAATTCCAGTATAGTACACTGGTGTATACAGCACTCGCAGACGATACCCTGGTAGAAATAGTCCCTTCTCTTCTCCAGATACACATTGGCTTCCCTTTTTCCAAGAAGAACTTCTCCAAGCGGGTTTCTTTTCCCTGCAATAGGTACAAAAATTATGTTAATATCCATGTGTAATTTTTGAATTTAAAACAAAATGTTTCCCATTAAACTTAGTATGAAATTGTAGCAGTTTCCGTTTGTCTGAAATTTTCATGACTTTTTTTAATAGACGTTCTCCGGCACACCGCTTTTCTAAACAATTTAACATCTTGTTTAACCCGTCCGAGCGGGTTGACGTTTAAAACTATGTTTGTTTTGTTTGTTTTACACAACATTTTAATTGTTTTGAGGAGTCAAAATTAAATGTTATACATGTGTATATGGAAACGTTTAAAGGCCTCCATTTAGTACGATCATGAGTTGTAAGACGACTGATTTTTGTTCTAATTGATTAGATGTTTTAACAAAAATCAATTCATTTCATTCACAAAGTTTATACCTTTTTTGCCATCCTTAGTCACTTTTCTCAACATGCTTTAAGTGTTTTGTCTCTGCAAATTTTTGTCAAAAAGACAAATGTATTCAAAAGACGAAAAAGATACCTTTTCGCCTAGACTAAAACATCAAGCATATCGAGAAAAGATTCGGCGAATTTATTTGTGTTAAAACTTTTCATTAAATCGAAATAAATTCAATCGACTTAAGACTCATGATTTCTCTTTTTGGAGGCATTTTAACGTTTCCGTAGTTAAATATATAATTTGCCCTGAAAATCCGGTATATATTAGCAATCAATTGTATTTCTTGTAACAATAAATGAGGCACGAAAATTTTCCGAACTGATGATTTCGGTTAACCGATGATCTGAATATAAATTTTCATAAGTAGGACGAAATCTTGAAATTGCGAAGTTCAAAACATGAATTCACGATGTTTGAATTCATGAAAGTGAAATCTTAATTTTGTGAAGTTGAAATCGTGAAATTCTGAATTTTTAATCGTGAATTCAGAAAGTTAAAAATGTGAATTCACGAATATGAACTCAGGAGTTTAAGTTAAAATGTCGCAACCAGTCTTTCGCAAAATATTTTTTCTTCTAAAAGCATTTAATAAAAATATTACATGGTTTTAGAGATCCGATTACAAACAAGCATGCAAAATAGTTTCGTGCTTGTAACTTTTAACTTTTGAAATGACTTTAATACATAAGGCTTTAATACAAAAGACCGATGGGGACATTTCAACTTCATGAATTTCCTATTTAATCTTCGTGGATTTACAATTCTAACTTTATGAATTCACGTTTTCAAATTCACAATTTATGATTTCAACTTCACGAATTCACGATTTCAACTTCTAGTAGAATCAAACTTCATGAATTCCCGTTTTCAACTTCGAATTGTCATGAATGACGGAAATGATAATCAACCGCTCCCGATCACTTTATTACAACAGCACCGTCACTTATTACAACCGCAAAATCACTATCGTAACCTCACCAATCACTTATCACCACCGCACCTATCACTTATCACAACCGTACCAATCACTTAACACAACCGCACCAATCACTTATCACAACCGCACCTCATTTATCACAATTACAACCGCATCCCCATCAATTTTTACAACTGTTTCCAATCACTTATTAACAAAAGTAAAAAGTAAATGAATTCTTCTGAAATAAAAATCATTTACTTACACTTAAAAGAAATGGCAATGCATGCACATTCAGTAATAAACCAAAAAGGTAGGGTTTACGCCATTATTTATCTGTAGAATTGAGAAAAAACAGAATCCCTAAAGATCGCCCAAAACGTCAAAATTAAAAATGTTGCAGACTCGGTTTCACTGAGGCTGTTCATGGACGATACCATCCTCGCCCGCTAGCACCGGCTTAACCAGAATTCAATAATTAAACATGAAAAAGGGAAATTTGGAATTTAAAACATCCGCAGATGATTTCATACGGCGGTCATCATGGAACCTTCAAAGTGCCACTTTCATACCATACCGTGAAAACGGCGTAGGGTCCCCAAGTAAAAGAAAGCGTACCTGCTATGCGTGGAAACTATGGGCTATGAAAACTGCTAAAAACTGCTAAAGAACATATAAACGGACCTAGTAAGCTCAGCATTTTACCTGGAAGAAAATTGTCTGATGAGAAATCAGGTGAGTAGAAACCACCCCGTCCACAGGTAGTACCTAACAGTTCATCAAGATGACGTCCGCATTTACCACTTGGTATGCTGTTTGGACTACACCACCGGTCATGCTTTGCTGATACAAGATATGTTGTTAGAAATATGGTCCAAAGGGCGGGAAGGTAAATGTTCATCTTTGATTAAATCTTCTTTCCTGAAATAAAAGAATTCAAGTAAACTAGAATATCTTTAAATATCTAAAACGGGGGGAGGGGAATGGGTACCTCAGACTTAGAAGCAAAGAAGTCGACAGTGTTACTGGTATATTGTTTGCTTTACCGGTGCGCTAACACAGTTAAGGTCATCTAGGAAAGATGATTTCGGCTAACCTATATTGTTACAAGTTGCCTGATGCATAGACTCCAATGGACCATTCAGTCGCCTCTTACGATCACGAAGGGTTGCGTTCATTGAACGCCGCCTTGTTTATCATATTTTAAACGGTGGCTGCAATTCTCATATCTCAACCCGTAACGGTAATCCCTCAATCGCAAGTAGTGAAACTAGTAAATGTAAATCGCAGACACGGTTTAATTCGGTTCGTTCATGATAGATGATAATATTAAAGTGCAACATCTTTAATTTCTTTAATGACACTAAATATTCATAGTGTGGACCTTTAGCGTAAACATACCTACACGTGTGCAGTCAAAACATGTTTTTATATATATTTGCAAAGACGCTGTGTAGCAAATATCACATATTTAAATTATACAAAAATGAGAAAGATAATCTTTAAACTTATGTAATGCGGGCATGAAACATCGGCCAGTTTACAAACTTAACTGTGTCTGTGTGTTCTGAAGGAGTCTGCAGCTACCAGCCGTTTGTTCTTGAGTATTTCTGCACACCTTTTGAGAATATTAAGAGTCTGTTATTTTTAAAAAAAATATTTTTGTTGCTACTAACTTTCACCGCATCAGTTATGTACATTGTAAATATTGGTGTTTATTAAGTGAAATTCTAACACTTAATAACCAAAAAGGGGAGCGACCGCGAGTTCATAATTGTTGTTAAATTGTTCACTTGAAATAGAATATTGACAAGCTTTTAATCTGAAATTGATTTAAGTTGCTTCCCGAAACGGCTATATTTCTTAGTGTTAAAATCATTTGTCGACACTAAGTTAGTCTTTTTTTTATTAAGTGAACATTTTAACAACAATTTAGTGTTTAACTTCGTTGGTCGGCAAACGATTTTAACACTAAGAAATATAACTGTTTCGGGAAGCAAATAGGAAATTTTCAATATTTTATATATATATTAAATTCTTTTCTTTAACTATTAAAATACCTGGTTCTTTTTACTATTCATACATTGAAATAAGTGTAAAAAATAAATTCCATATAATAATTCCTTTGGCAACAAGGAAACTGGCATACAGTTTTATATTTTTATGTTTTTGTCCTTCTTACTCATTTTATCACATAAGACTAGGGGTGAATTGTGCTCATTTTATTATTATTTATTATATATAATTACTATCAACAGTTTACATATTAAAATAAAAAAGGAAACATTTTTCTAAAGTATACGGTTAAACTATTTAATTTGAGTTCAAACCCCGTCAGGGGCAAGACATTGTATCATTTAGCAAGAAATTACGCTCATTGCCCAGACCTGGTTGGTTCCAGTTATGGATTCGAGAGTGTATCTGTAAGCTCATAGCTTCTTACACAATCGTAGTACATTAAAGAGAGGATATTTGCTTGTTTTGCATGTAAGATTGAAATATAATTTCACTGAGTGAACACCAGATGTAATATTTTCACGAGTGGCGTAGCCACGAGTGAAAATATAATAGCTGGTGTTCACGAATGAAATATATTTCAATCTTATATGTAAAACAAATAAATTTTCTTTTTATTCCATGCTTTTTAATTGATTTTAAGTATATTTTTACTAATTTTGCCGCGTAACGTCACGCATTCTCCTTTGTGACGTCATCACATCATGACATCACATCATCAATTTTGAAATATAGGTCTGTTAAATTTCTCTTATTTTGTTACATTTTAGCATGATGTATGATGGCATCGACTTTCTTTTTCTAAAAAAGCAAAATTTACGCATGGCGGCATTTATTTCTACCTGTTATTCCATTTAGTTATGATTTTCTTTTCATCCGCATTCAGATATAGTCCGGCTACAGTGAAAATTATATTTTATAAATTTCACTAGTGGTTTATTAGAATATAATCATCTGATATATTACAATAAAACACTGGAAAGCATGAAATAAATTCTGTATAAATCAACTATTTATTAACAAGAGAGGTAGGTGATAAACAACTTGGTCTAAAAAATGACAAAAAATGTTCGTAATCCAATTGCTTAAATATCTCTGTACTTTAGGTTTAGAACCATAATTCATAACTAAATTTGAATATTTCAAAGAAATGTTCAATTTTGGTATATATCAAACCGTTATTTCTAGATAATTTTCATACAATCTTATAGCAATGGCATAATTTAAATCATGACATGAAAACAAAATTTTGTAAACACTTTTTACCAAGTTACAAATAAAACCAAACTTACATGCCTACATATCTAACATAATTCTATATTTCGCAAAAAAAAAGTAACAAAATATTATAAATTTGATATAAACGATATCATGAAACCAAACCTTGTATTAATTTCCACTAGGCTTTTTCTTCTGATGTGTGCATACTGGCTGAAGACTTCCCCTCTATCTGAGGCATCAACGTCCACAGCTTTAAGTACTTTGTTGTTGAAATACAATTAGCAACAAAGAAGACAATCAAAAAATACGTTAAGATATTGAAAAAGGTATAGTACTGAAAATAAAGAACGCGTCAAAGAAAAATGGTAAAATATCATCAAATATCATTTTAAGTAACGAGTTGTCAAGAAGCATTTTTATTTTTTATAACTATTGTTAAGGCATGAGCAAATGTTGATTCAAAATTTCTATAGCTTGTTTGAATAATTAAGAGTGATGTGGAGATAATCATTTACTGACTGTACATAGCAATTATTACCTCCCCTGGCTGCCATTTATTTGGTGGGGGTGGTTGGGGGTGGTGGGGTGGTGGTGTAAGGTAATTTCCAATATGTCGTATCCTTTTAAAAGATAAAATATTTCATTATTCTATGATCTTCATGAAAACTGATAAAACTCTTTAAAATGTTGGTGCTAAAATAATATTTTACTGCATATGTGTTAAATAATCGGACAATTAATGTATATTAATTTTGTCATATTTTGTCTATATGGTACATTGTATATAGGATATTGACCGGAAGGTAAATAATGTGAAAATCAGGAACTATCCAACACGTCTTCAGAATAATTAAAAGCATAATCAGCTTTAGCGACGATACATTTTGCGCTAAACCGCGATACGTCTTTAATCGGCAGTGACGATATTTGTTTAAACGATATTTGCTATACATCTTTTAGCAATATCGGCGACAAATCTTTTAGAGCTTGAACGGAGGTACATCTTTGAGCATCAGCGACGAAACATCATTGAGCAATATCGGCGATTAATCTTTGATCGGCAGTGTCGATATATGTTTAAGCAATATCGGCGATACATCTTTTAGCAATATCGGCAATAAAAATGCTTGTGCTTGAACGGCGATACAGCTTTGAGCGATCAATGTGGTATATATTTGTTGGCCAGCGACGACCAATCTTGGAGCGTCAGTCACGATTTATCTTGATCGCTACATCTTTGAGCGATATCGATGGTTAATCTTTGAGCGATATCGGCGATTGACCTTTTTGTGCTTGAACTGCGATACATCTTTGAGCGATATCGGCGATACATTTTTATTAATGAATTATGAAAGGTCATAGTCAGCGTCGATGAATCTTTGAGCGATAACAGCAATACGACTCCGTTATACAATTTTAATATCTTGATCCTGGAATTTCTAAAAAATTCCAGTGATGAAATTCAAACTCAAGTTTCTTAAATCAGCAACGAATAACTTCAATAGCTATTTATGAAGTTTATTATTTTATTTTATTTTTTCGCTTAAAAAACATTCCTGAAATACAACTTTAAATTTTGATGACAAGATTGCTTTGATGGACAGTTTATTTAACTGATTGATCAACATATAAACGAAATATTTATGACGAAAATGTTGTTTTCATTTCCGACATCACACATAATGAAAACATAGAAATGACACTTGTGTTGTGGAAACAAAAGACGATAGTACTTCAACGCCGAAATAGTGAGCCGATTATAACGCTTCACACCAGTTTTAGGACTGTTTCTGAGAAATGTTCAATATTTTTGTCTCCATATGAACTTTTTTTTATCTGTATGTCTTTTTTTTCTTCAAAACAACATGTTGATGAAGTCATCTGTGGTAGCTAATATATTTGAGCCGCGTCATGACAAAACCAACATAATGGGTTTGCGACCAGCATGGATGCATCCGCGCAGTCTGATCAGGATCCATGCTGTTCGCTTACAAACCCTATAACAAGTAGAGAAACTGATAGCGAACAGCATGGATCCTGATCAGACTGCGCGGAAGCGCAGGCTGGTATGGATCCATGCTAGTCGCAAACCCATTATGTTGGTTTTGTCATGACGCGGCTCATTTGTGTTTTTAAGATGTTTTAAAAAACATTTATAAAATATTGAATATTTATTACTTTATAAATCATATAAGCTTGACAATAAAAATGAGTAATAATAATACACTCTTTATTCAACGAAGGTAACTTATTAAGACAGTAAGTACATAAAAGCATCAAAGATAACACATCAACATGTTATAATATTCATATTTGCTCTTTCTAAAAGCTAGTATGAGGCATAATGTGCATACATATAGCTCCAAACATAATCGAACTAAAATCAATTCAGAGAATTTCCAAGAAGATGTATATTGAATAAGTATTGATTTGGATGGAGAATCTGGCTATGCATAAATCCATGACCCGTCTAATTCTTATTATCAAATTGGTTGATACAATAAGAATTTCACCGCAACATATTTGTTATTTAAAATAACTTAAGCGCACATGTCAAAGTTTGTTGTTAAATCTATTGTAATTCAATTAAAAGTCCAGAGTAGCGATCAATTGCATAGGTCCACGGGTAATATTATATTGGATGGTTTAAATAAGCGTTGCATTTTTAACTACGTGTATGA